AATTATTCACAGATAAACATTTCCATAAATTCCATCCATACCCGAATCAGATGAATACTAAATTCTACTGTTTTGTTCATGCCTCTTTCCCTACCTTAAGAGAAAGGTCATTTCAATTTCTGTGGCATGTTAAGAGAAGAATAATGGAAAAATACAGTACATTGACTTACTTATTCAATATCTCTTGTAAAGAACGGAATCATAAAGGGTTAGGTATGGTAGCAATGAGTTTGCCTCCAAACTTTATCCCTTAAATGTTTATATATATATATATATATATGGCATTCAGCTTTGTTCGGGTATTTTCCCACGTCATTGTAGTTGTGCTTTTAAAGTTGTAGCAACGTTTCGGCAGAATCTCATCTGCCATCATCAGGTTTCTGTATAGTGTTCATCTGTGAGTCAGACTTTTACAGTGGTTTCAGATTTAAATTTGGGGCAGCCTATTGCTGTGCCAGAATGGTTTTTTCTTCATCCTGATTGGTTGGGAGTCTTGGTCTGTGTTTATTGGTCTTGGAGTTTGCTGTGTTCTTAGATATTAGAAACACCAATCAAGCAGAATAAAATATAAAATATGTATTATATATTATAACATGTATGACAAAAAGGAATGTCACACTGTGTCCAATATTTTAATAATTTAATAAATAAAATTTAATAAAAATAATAATACAGTAAAACAGATAAAACAAATTCTACCAAATAATCCAAGTGTCTGAAAAAAAAGTTAAAAAAAAAAAGCTTTAGAAAAAGCAGGCAGAGTGGGACCATCCCTATTTAGTGTAGAATATTATTCCAGCTGCTTAAAACATTATTGGCAAAATGGTTGTACAAGTACATAGATGCTAAGACAAAGCCATCCATTTTTGTAATAGCTAATATTGTCATGCAAAAGACAAGCAAGTTCCATACGGATAGTATTATGACTGTGATTTACTGTAAATTAGTGATGGTATCAGACAATTTATTACTACTCTTTTGAGAAAGCTAATTTAATTCTGCTTTAAATAAATATATTGACAATTTATACTGTTCAATTATTAAGCATTACTGTAACAATATAATTTTTCTTACATGCAATATTACATGACTAAGGCTTTGATACATAAAATGGCAAAAATATAATATTGAAAAATTCTTTTTCCAGCAGGTTCACTTCAATGTGCAGCTCTCAGAAACAAACAGATGTTCAGATGCTCAGCCAGGGATTCCTGGGCTGATAGGTCATTCATCCAATAAAGAAAAGTAAGCTGTTGAACAGGAAAGGAGTGGGCCTAAGGAGAAAACTGGGAGCATTTAAAGAGAAGGTGGAAAGGCCATTTGGAATTGAATAGGAAGACAAACTTGGGAATTGGGGGGAAGCAAAACTATCTGGGGTAGAGGCCAAAGGGTTGAAGGAATGTGTAAAGTGAAAGTAGCCAGTGTCACTTCTAAAGGTAGTCAGTATTCTAAATGCAAGAAAACAGTTACTTCCTCCTATGGCATTATATCAGAATTTATCTTTTCTCCACTCTAAGGTGGTGTGGAAGCTACCAAGGCAAGGATTAAATGCCCCAGAGAATTCAGTGTGGGAGATCTAATAGGAAAAATAATACAACTAAAGCAAGCCATATTCTCCCATTTTCTAATTTTCGTTCTAACAAGAGAAACCTATATATTCACTCTGAAGTTATATGAAAATAATCATTGTTCTGGTAAAGGCTTATGAATGTAATTGCCACTTGGGTAAACTGTTGCTACTGATGTAGAAAGGATAGATGTGATTGATAAACAAGTAGAACAGATAATCTGATTCTAAAAGGATGCATTTTCAGTCTTGAATTTCTGGAAAGGAGATCCTTGATTTGACTTGAGTGCAAAAATAGGTTTTTTCATTACCTTTTAAAAGGAGCATTGCCTTAACATATGTTCTTCTTTCCACATCCCCCTCCAGACATAGTTTTTAAGTTGCTCCTCTAATAAGGAATGAACTATGAAGTTATAGCCTATATATCTGAAAGAAAATCAACTTTAAATTGAATGAGATATTCCCCCCTCCCATAGTACAGAAAAAAAAAAACTAGTCTTTTTCTTTTTTTAAGAATAGCTGGATGGGGAGGGGTGCTTTCAGGCAAACAGAATATATCTTGTTGAATTTTAACAGCGATTTGAGTTATATAGTACCCCCAGTAATAAAGTTTAGGGAAAAGAATAGATCAATGGAGAAGCATCTAAAAGCAAAGGACTGAATTTTTCCAGGGACTAGACCTGTTTTAATTTCCCTAGAGTCTAAGCAGAATGTCGTCACTCAAGGAACATAGCTCCTAATAACAAAGATGCCATAGGAACAATTATAACGTATACCTAAGATCCTTCATCTGCTTGACTGGTTCTCTTAAATTTTGTCAGTGCACTGTGCACGGTGCTGTGATCAATCTGGCAAGTCACATGCCACCTTTTTTGTATGATGCTTCAAAAAGATGATGCTTAGGTATGATATAGGTGAGATTACAAAGGTGAGATAGTCTGTAAGCAAAAAAAGCAAGTTTCCAGAGACCAACTCTTTTGAAGAATTAATATAATCATGTTCAATTTAAGGGATTAAATCCTTGTAGGAATTTCTGTCCTCAGGATATCATTTTGAGATCAGCATTCATGGGCTCACTGTCTTAAAGTAATTCAGAGGAGATCTGGAATTGTATTTGAAATTCTTACAGATTTTCATTGGGAAACTTGAAAAACTCCTAAATAGGTGACTGCTCACAACAGTTCTATTTTTGTTTGACTTAGTGGTGAAAATTTGGGATTGGAAACAAAATATTTAAAGAAAAGGGAAGATAGCATACCTTTAAGAGGACTCAATCAAAACACAGCTCAAAACACAGGTAAACATGTATACATATATAAATATATACATATGTTTAATTAAAATAAAAGAATTTGCTCATAATCTCTGAAAATGTAAAATATTTCATCAATTTTTATCATTGCAGGATATATGAAGTCCTCTGCACCAAAAAAAGTGCAGGTTCCATGTAAGCCTGCAGCACCTTCTAAAACTTCCGCCTACTTTCCTGGATAGCATATTGTAATTAAAGGTTTACAACAATTTTGATCACCATTATCAGTTACATGCATTTGTTTCCCTTTTGAAGTACCAACTTTACATTTTTACAAAATAGATTTCTGGGTACTAAAGTTAACTAGTTCTAGGACATTTAAATTTATGTTTTTCTACAAAATGAAATGGATATTTGTTTATTCAATGGATAGATGTCTAGATTCTATTTGGTTGTTCTCTAATAGTTCATTTGCATTTTTGCAATATACGAGGTATTTGCTTTCAGTTTTAGGTATCAAAGATGCACTACCTGATAAGAATAACTTATTGTTGTTTCTATGACAGAAATTTATGGAATGTGGGGCTCAAAAGTGAAATTGTGGAAGGCTTAAGGAGGAATTTACCTGACACAAATAGAATTGCCTGCAGAATTTTGGAGCTTAATTCTTCAGTGTCTATGATGCAGGGTGTTCTAAATTCAATGCAATGCAAATAGATCTGCCTTATTGTTCTACCTATATAATACTGCAATCTCAGGGAGGGTTATGGCAGATGGGATAAGGTATGAGACTCCTGGATCTCTTATGTATGTCAGCCTGAATAAGCATAAACTTTCATACTACCTTTCATTTAGCAGTTTTTGATTACTATATCGAAAATGTACAGATTTTTTTAAAAATTGTGTCTAAGTAGAATTTTTTCCCATTCTTTATAGATTTAAAGATTATGTAATGATGTTTCTACATGGCCAAACTACATATTTCCAGCTTGAATAACCAACTCTGCTGTTCAACCATTGGGGTATCTTGGCCATAAATAAAAAAATATGACAATGTCTGAAGTAATGAAACAATTTTTAAACACAATATTTTCTGGTTTCTAACCATGGTAGAAAAACGTATAAACTGGCTCAGTGCTGTTCTTTTTATTACTTTTGGAACGCATTTGAGTCCAGTATGCAAATTGATTTTAGTAATTTTAATGGAACAACCGGTATTAATAACATGATTTAGGGATGCAGTATTAGTGCCCACAAATCTATAATAAACATTTATTTTTGAATTTACCGGATTTTAGAATTCCTGTGCTGTTAGTTAACAATATTGGCACATTTTGTCCAGGGTTTAGAAAACAATACTTTAAAACCATTGCTGAATGTTGGTATATTTTTGGTAATATTCCCCTCCACTGTAACATACTTTTGTCATTGAGTGTGGTTTGCTATCTAAACATAGTGGATGCCTTATTTTAAGTGTTTGATTTTGCAACATATAAATTGAAATGCTATGTCTGGAACTGGTCTGTTGCATCATATTCACATAATGACGAATACATTAAAGCTGTGATCTAATATTAGAAAGATTAACAGGATGTTATTTTTGCTGCTATTCAGTAGAAACGTACAACCCATTTTTCCTTAAAACAGTTACTTGAGAATTGTTTTGAATGTGAAATGTTTTGCACTTATTCTACTCAGAAGTTTTCAACTCTAGATGATCTGCTCACATAGTTGTAAAATATTTGGGCAACCACTTGCCTGGATCTTTCAGTATGTTACATAACATGTCTATTGAACACGGGGAACAATGTCTGTACAGTGTCTTATATATAGACCTCTGCTGCCCAGTTTTATTTACTGTAAAGAGTAATGAGGTTCACATATTCTTGCTGTTTTTGACCATAAAAACAAAATCACAAATCTTTCTAGCTGGAGGAGCCATTTCATTTTGCAGTAGGACAACGTGGCCTCTAACTGAATCAAATCAGCAAAAGTTGGCATAGTCCAGCCAATTTTAAGTGTTATGAAATGCAGGGGAAAAGTTTTAACATGCTATAAGGACCTCATCATAATTGTAGCTGGAAAATATTTAAATATAATCTCCTTTAATGGGATTTTATTACATTCATATTTTGTTCCAAACAGAACTACTCTGAATATCTTGTAATTTTTGTCAAATATACATTTAGATAAATCT